ACTTAATATGTCTATTTGAAATATTTCGATCAAATTGCTAATTCAAGTTCACCACTAGGCCACCAGGGGCTTTTATAATTCTGTACAAATTATGGTACAACATTTTTGAATATTATTATTATTTTTTTAATATTGCCTTTAATGCTGTTCAAATTAAATATATTCTACATCTTACACAATTATTTTAAGTGAAGGGTTACCATGTCAACACGCTTTTAGTAATTCTGGCCGAAAGAGTAATCATTTATATCAATTCTTTAACATGTTATATCTTCACCGGAGAACTAAGAACAAAACAGTAAACCAGTGGTTGCTACACTGGAGTTCAATATTCAGCTTTATATTAAAAAAATCACTTTAAAATCAATAAATTAGAAGTTTAATATCAATATATACCAGCAGAGAAAATATTACATCAGTTACTAAACTGCTGTATTATGAGCTCAATCCTTCATCATAAAAATATTACATTTCTATACCAGTGTTATCTAAATTTCTATTTTTTTTTAGCTAGTACATTTGCATACTATAAAGCGTAACTATTAATAAAATCTAAAATTTATTTCACAGAATGCTTATCAAAAGATTGATAACTCCTTATTCTTATTATCTTTCAAAAGTTAATTTTATACTATATATTTGTTTTAGTGCTTGTAAGTTTAAATATCTTTTTTTTTTTATGAGAACATTTTTACCTAAACAATTATTGAACTCAACTGAGCAACACGTTTATATCAACACAGACATATTAAGGTTAAATGATATTTTGGAGAAAAAATAAATTATTTTCAAATTTTAAATTATATGCGACCTTTTAACTCCAGACTTTACGTTGTTAATTTCTTGAATTCATTTTCATGCTTTTAGCAAATGGGATTTCTATTTCTTTATAGAACATCTACTCATGAAACTATAAACTGCTTTATCTTAGAACATCTCATGAAACTGTAAACTGCTTTATCTTAGAACATATTCTCATGAAACTGTAAACTGCTTTACCTTACAACACCTCATGAAACTGTAAACGTTTTACCTTACAACACCTCATGAAACTGTAAACTGCTTTATCTTAGAACATATTCTCATGAAACTGTAAACTGCTTTACCTTACAACACCTCATGAAACTGTAAACTGCTTTATCTTAGAACATCTCATGAATCTGTAAGCTGCTTTATCTTGGAACATTTTCTCATGAAACTGCATTATACTACATACAAAAAATGATTTCAATACTTTTGTTTGGAAAAATAAAAAAATTACAAAAATGAAAGATACTGTAACACTAATTTTTCTCATCTATACAAGAAAAAACTTGATGATTTGGGAAAATAAAGTATTCAGTTTTCATCAATAATGAATACCATAAAAAATGTGGTAAAATGTTATGATATTCTAACCTGTGTCTATAATATACAAACTAATAACATCTACAATTCTTTAACGTGCTGAAGTCTTGGCAAGTTTGTAGTTACTTCCGGAAAAATGTTTAAAACTAAAACTCCAAACTATACAATATTGAATGCTAACTTCAAAATTACTCAATAATAATAAAGTTTATCACTGTTAAAGTTCTTGTGATTCTAACTCCTAATTAAAGTTTTAAATCACTATACATAACATTCAAGCAAAACCATTCAGCTAGTAGATAAATCATCAACTATGAAAAAAGGCTCTCACTCCCAAAACTAAAGAAAAACAATTCAAACGTCTATTTGTACCATTATACCACACGCTACTATAAATTATAGATCACAAAAGATTCACACATAAATTACCAGAAATGAAAATGACATTCTGTAGTATTAAGTCAAAGACAGAATACCCGAGTTCGTCACACACTTGTCAGCTACTACCTTAAACAGGAAACATTAGCTACTCTCATGGTTGATTGTTACAAAAGATTTGAACGATGCTGCCGCACGCGAAAAATAATGGAAACAGAATTGAAAATGAAATCAACCCTGATGTTCAATCCACTGTGCTACTCCACGATTCACTAGTTCACGATTGATGAACAATGTCTGAAACAAAGGAAATTTAAAACAATTTACCAGTTTATGATTGATATACAACATTTAAAAAATATATATATATTTAAAAATCCCTCAGTTAATATAAATCTTATAATGTAAGTGATAAGTGAAGGAAAAACATAACCCTACACATTTGGAGAAAAGTTTTATTACTAGGTCAAAAAGCCTAAAAATAAATTGGAAACAGAGCAGATCAGAGATTTGAAGACCATAAATTTTATAAGATACAGAAATAATATGAAATACACAATTGAGAGAGAAATATATGACAGTAACAAGTTCCAGGAGCTTCAGATTTATAAAAAGTAATATAAAAATGATTAGGGTAACTGAACAATTACATAAAACTGGAAACTTTGAAGACAGCCCACCCTCCCCCAATTTTTAATTAGGGTTTAATCACAAAAACACTTGGACTATTGAACAATTTGAGTGCAACAAATTCCACTTATAAAAAAATGTGTACGCTTTTGTAATACAATACTGATAGTTGAACTTACCGATAACCCTTGAACTCTGTACAGATGAACATATGGAACACCGTCTTCAGCGTATGCGACGAGCATAGCTTGGAGAATCTGTCCTTGAGCTAATTCTTCAAACGTGGCACAAGCTTCTAGAGACCATGCAACTTCATCTTCACAAAATAAAGTAAATGAATTTTAGACACCTTGAAATTACATAGTAGTTCCCTAATGGCGATAGAAATTACTCTTAAATATTAATGTTATGCTATGACAATTATCAGGCTTGTCATTCTAAGACCATCACAAAGTTTCTTTTAGTTTTTACTTAATAAGTAAATTTACATAAATAATGTCATGCTGATACTTTCTGTAAAATATAACTTCTTGTTTCACTGAATGGAAAGAGGAGATAGGTGAATATTTCTGTTTTTTCTCAAGAGTTTGTGAACTAATTTTTCAGATAGTTTTTTTTTGTGACAATTTTGTTTATAAAGAAATTTCAGTTTACAGTAACTTTTCAGTTGCACGTGTACTTCTGAGTATAATGTTATTAAAATAAAGCCAGGAGGTTTGTTAAATTTAAGACAGGGTCATATTTGAATCCATAACACACGTTTTTTTATTTCCTCCATGCAGCCTGGCTTTATTTGAGGCAAACAACATATAGTATTTTTTATTCTCTCTGAGCAACCTAGCATTTTCAGAGGTAGGGTTTTAATAAAAGCCTTAGTTTTTTCCTGAGGAAATATTGTACTTTTAATGGCACAGCTGAAGATGAATAATTATAGTGGGTACAACTTTCATTTCAAAACTACTGCGGAAAAAGCTTCACATGGTGAGAAAAACAAGGAAGTGCTTTGATTTTGATAATAATTAATTTATTTGTTTTTTTTTATAACAAAGCCATGTGGGCTATCTGTTGTGTCCACTGCGGGGAACTGAACCCCAGATTTTAGCATTGCAAATCCATAGTTTTACTGATGTTTAAAAATTAAGGTTGCAAATCCTTATCAATCTTTTTTTGAGACATAAGTAAAAACATAGAAGGGTTAGAAGATATAGCAAGGTATGTAGCCTACACTACACTTTTAGTTTTTATTTCGCCATAACTTATGCACTGCAGTTATGATAAGGTAGAAAGCAACACTAATGTTATCTTATATCCATTATTTATGAAGTGCTGGTGTGGACAGTCAAATGTCAAGTAATCAAAATCTGTTAAATACTAAGAAAATTTCAATGTTAAACCCTTTAACTTAAAGACGTTTTAAGTGTAAAAAAAAAGTACATATTTAAAAAAAATCTCACCATTTATAGGCTTTACATTTGCCAGATAACACTCAGTTGCCTGGAAAGGCAATGTCATAAAATCACTCCTGTTAAGCAAGAGAGAGACAATAAATAGTCTTAGAGATTATGAACATTTTTTTAACTTCTAAAATTCATAAATAAATTTGCAATGAGGGATTAATTTTTTTACATTACATACTAAAAAAATAAACTTTCGTTCAAATATTACAAAAACAAATAACTGTAGTAACAATGTCTTTCACTGTATTAGCTATTTTCATAGCAGTTTCAAGTTTTCTTTCTTGTAGTAAAACCTTTGGATATCACTATAATTTCAGATAAATTTTGTTTAAGAATTATATCAAAAATGTATAATTGTACAGGGTTGTTCAGAAGTCACATCCTGTTTGAGAGTATGGAAAGTGGTGAACTGTAGCATCACACTAACTTTTGTTGTCAATTATTACACACACACAACAAAAAAAGGTTCACAAGATATGACTCCTTATTAGATATAACTAGCCAGCTGATCTGAATTTCCATGAAGCATTGCATTTTTGATTTCACATTTTGTAATTTAGTACAAGTTTAGATTTATATTTGTGGCAACAGTTACATTTCCTGACATTGAAATGCAAATAGAACAAAGACCTAAGTCTATGGAACCAAAATCAGAATTTTTCTAGAGAAGTCAATCACGTTTTATCAACCCTGAAGAAGAGAAGAATTAGACAGAAGAAAATTTTTTAGATCATCTCTTCAGAGGCCACTCACATCGCAAGCCATACAACATTTGACCTATTATATGTTTTTAGCTGTATTTTACTCACAACGGAGAATTTATGTACAGGGTGTCCCAGAAGTATGGACCCATGGGGAAAATAGATTCTTAAAGTTAAACAAACACATTTCTAATGTCAGTTGTACATGTTTCAGGAAAGAAAATACGCTGACGGCACAGTATACCAAAAACTGATATGTGTATGGCTGTTAATGGCATTCAATTTGAATAATAAATAAATTAAAATAAATTATGTATTTTTCCCTATGGGTCCAGACTTCTGGAACACCCTGAACATAAAATAAAGGACTTGAAGAATATGTAGAACTGACGTTTCTAATTTAATCCTCAAAATTATTTAGCAGACAAACTGTTTTAGGCACTAAAAATAAGTTTTCTCTTGTTTAGATTTACTGGTGAGAGTTGAAGTTTCCAAAAACTGGAACAACAAATGGTGAACTGAATTATAGATTGAGCTTCAAATTTAAGGTTTTGTTAAGTGTAAAAATGTTAAGATTCCAACCTTTTACAATTTGCCTCAAAAGGATTTGGAGCCATTTGTAATACAGGGGAGAGAAATTATAATGTGGGTGGAGGTGGAGACCAGTTTACCTTTAATATGAACAAAGATTTATCTGACCAAGCTTATTATTTGTTTGAACATTATACTTGGCCATCTTGTTCGATTTTTTTGCAAGAGTTAACTGTAGTTCAGCATTGTATGCATACACATGTGGGCTTTCTATATTGTCACATAGCAACACACAATTATGTAAAAACAATTCCAATTCTGATCAGCCTCAAAACTGAAAGGAAAAAAGGGATGGGTTTAGTGTGATTTCATCTATTTTTCAAACAGGAAATAATGTTGGGAAAAGGCAAGTCGTGTGAACAAGTGTTATTCACATAATTCAATATTTGTTGGGTGTCCCTCCATGAGTATAAATTATGTAAAACTTAAGTGATGGCTGGAGTTTTTTTTTAACCCTGAAACGGGAAGAAAACAGACTGGATTGACTGTGTAAATGGGCAAGATTTCTCAGTAAAATGCATTGACCAAAGCATTTCTGTACCATTGAAAAAATTTCAAAAAGCATTTTGGATTCTTTTTATAATAAATATTACATTTTGTGGATATTTTTTTTTATGTGATTGTGTAATTTTGAGCATTTTTTACTTGTTTTTGAGCTATTAAATCATGAAATAATTATTATGATCTTCAGTCCATTTATAGTTATCGAAATACTGAAAAAAAAATTCAAATACATTCAGTATGTTCAAGAAGCATTTACTTTAACCATTAAGTTTGAAATGGTTTTAATCTTTTACTTATGTTTGAACAGTGAAATGAGTTGGTGTTCCCCAATGATGCTTGTGTATTTCTCTCGTTACTTGAGTGGTAATCAGTAGAAGATTTAATTGATATTCATATATAATTAATTTATTGTGGGGTTATGAATAAAAAATAATTGTTTCAATAATTATAGCTATTTCTATTGTGTTTTTTTTCTTCTTAAAATAACACAAAATACTAAATAAGAATTGTTTATTAAACTGTTGAAATTGCTTATGAAGATATCTTTAGAGTCATGGTATCTAAGCCTAATCAGTATCTCATGAAAACTTCTTGTTACTAGTCTTCAGAAACAAGCTTTTTTACTCTCGAACTAGCATGATTAAAGACAGTAATGGGTTCTTTTTTGTTGCAGATGTTTCTCATAACATTTAATGGCATATTTGGTTCACCTATCTTGGTAAAATGATACCAAAAATTGGAATTTCATTAAGAAAGTTTTGTAAATTACATTTACATGCACCAAACAGATTTTTGAAAACTGAAGATTGGACCCCAATCAAGCCATTCTGAATAAAATCATTAAAGATTATTTTATATATCATCACCAGGCAAATTAATACAATCCACTGTCAAAAATCAGTGAGCAGTAAAGTAATTATTAAAACTCAAACATAATCATCAAGTTTCAGGTCATTTTTTTTCCAGTTTAAAAAAAAATATCTCAACATTTCAAATATATAGATTTACATTACCTTATCTGTCTCAAAGAAGATACTGGAACTCTTGAATATCCTCCATAATCTACAAATTTGATGTCACACTCTTCCATGTTTTCATGTACATACATTATCTGGGCTCTGAACCATCCTCCCATCATGGGAGCTGCACATACTACACTTGCTTTGAATGGGGTAAAAATAACAATAATTACTTCGATTGCACCTATTTACATACATAGATATCGTTTTTATAACATTTTGCATATTCCATTCCAAACTTACAGACAGTCAAACATTAAACTGGGGTAGAAAGCTCATCACCTCGTGTGAAAAAGTCCATGAGAAGATCCATCTATGTCTCAGTCAGTCCCAGTAATAAAACAACAGAGGTTGATAAAAGCTTTGTTGTAAATTTATGAATATCTAATGTGTCATTAGACCAGGCCTCGACAAATATTTTCAGATCTAGGAGCCAGCCCAAAAACTCGGGAGCCAGGTGTGCCAAACCTAACTTCATTACTGTTTGTATCGGGAAATGAAAGTAGAGATACTGCTGTCACAGACAGAACAAACAGATGTCAAACATAACAGCATACAGTGCTATAAGTTGATTCCTGTGAACATTCGTAAAGAATTACATTTTACTTGTGTTCTTCTTACTTCTGAATCCCTGCAGTGTGCAGAGTTTTTAAATGTTTAAAAAGTGTAGTCACCAAGGAAACTGACAAAGTTTTTTTAAAACAAGCTTAAACACATTATTAGCTTTGGCCTAACAAAAGTTACCAATGGCGTGTGTATTGGCTAAAATAGACCAAAACTGAGAAGAGTGAGAAAAAAGAAAGTTTCATCACACCTACTAAAATACTTTCTCTCATAAGAAATGTGTCATAAATTATTTTTTACTCAATGATAAGTTTGTGACAATCAGATTTCAACCATTGTTGTCAGTAGTAGCCTTCAGTTTTTAATTACTTACTTTTTCTTTAATTAACAACATACAAAACAGATAAAGTTAATACAACTACTATAATTACTAACACAATGTCTTAAGTAGAAATAAAAAATACATGTAAAAAATCAACCAAATATAAAACCTACATAAGACTGTTTTTTAAACATTAAGAATACCAACTCCATATTGTCTCAAGCAAAAAAAAAGGTGTCCCTACTTCATTTTTTAAACAGTAACTCAATAGTAGTTAGAATTAGATACTTGTACAGGCCACTAACACCAATAATGATTGGGTACATGTATTACTTTACATTTCAAACCCCTCCTAATTAGTTTGAAAATTTGTTTGTACCTTCGACAGGTTGAGGAAGGGGAGGAGTGTCCACCTGTATGTAACATGTAGTCATACATTGGTCAAGTTGGCTCAAAGATGGGTAAGTTGGGTGTGTTGGCTGCTGAAGAAAAAAGTGACCAGCTGTAACCATGCTGGACAAAATGGTATCACATGATACCCCTTCTGGAAGAAGAAGCTGTAAAGAGGAACAAATTCTCCATGTATTTTATACATTATATGATAACAGTAATGCAGCTAATTTTTTTTTATTGTAAATCAACACTAGAAGCAACAGTGGGAGCTACACAAACCTGTAAAATCTAAAATAGCATTAAAGAAATTCTGTATGCATGCATATATACAAACATGCACAATTATATCTATGTATGTAAAATTTAAATTGGGAAAAAGAAGGTAAAAATTAAAACTGGTAATTTCATTTTTTTTTACATCTACATAAATATCAAACAGATTTCATTTACTCTCCTTATGCAAGCTATTCAGCATACGTTCATACATAGTTATTGTGATCAGTAAGTGTACCCCCTTTACCTGCAAAGTCTCTGGTACAGGAATACCACACGTAAGAGGAACATTAACTTGAACAAGAGTAACCGTGGGATAGTGAGTCAGAGGAAACTTCTTCCTAATTAAATGTAGAGCAGTTTTGATGTCTGCTTCTGTACCTGGAGTAAAATTTATATAAGTATGTGTTCCTAAAACACAAAATAGGCTTAGTTAATACAATTTTAATCATTTAATAAGACACAAAACAGACTTAGTTGATACAACTTTAATCATTCAGATCCACAACACACATTTCTTTAAAAAATACATGTAAAAATCTATAAAACATGGAACCTACATAAAATCTTTTTTTCTCCAGAACTATTTGAAAACAATACTTATTCACATTGTCTCAGGCCTAAAATTCTCTGCATACTTCCTCCATAACCAGTTATAGTAGAATTGTGACTTAATACTGTATTATTAACTTTTCGTGTGTTAAAAAAAAATAGAAGATTCATTATACTTGAAACTAAACACAGCAAAAAAAAACAAACTAAAACTACCTAATTCTCACCTTCAATAGCACATAGTTTCATGCGAGGATTGAAAAGATGTCTTTTGATGAATACATTAGCATTCGAACAGCTTTTAATGTAATTGACATGTTTTCCCTGCCGTCCAATCAAGCGACCACAAAGATCTTGGGGGATTTCAAACTCATACACAGTGATCATCGATTCAGCCTGCGATGTTTGTAAAGAATCAGCTCCAAACTGAATATCGCTACCTCCTTTACCACTGTCACTTGATCCCTAAAGGGTTAAGAAAAACCGGCAATGTTTTGATTTCATCGTGGATTATAATGTTTCAATTATCAAGGTTTAATTTGACTTATAAATTTTGTAGCAGTTTGGCTTATCCAGTTTGAAAATTTGAGGCCAAACCTGGAATCCCTGTAGCAAAGTCAAATAGCAAACTGTATGAAGATGCGAATAATGTCGTGCGAAACAACAGAAGACTAACATAAGATTTTTTCTTTCTTAAAATTTATTGTTAAAGATATACAAAAACTGATACTATCACACAATGCTTTTCATTTATCTTTCACTAATACTGTACTGTTTTGGTATTTTGGTAAATGTATTGTAAAAAAGTCAAAAACGTGAACAATTATTTCACTTGCAGGCAGAAAAAGTTTTCTGTCCATTTTTATCATGCACCATGAGAAAGAAAAATAACATTCACAACAGTAGGAAAGGAAACACTATCATACGTTTCTGGGAAACAGTTTTAACGAGCATGTGCTAATGTATTACACAAGTCATATTTAGATGCATTTTTTGGTATTATTCTCTTGCAAAAAGTACACTTTACTAGTTTACAAGCAAAAGTTTAACCCATGATAATTATGTTAACAAAACTTAATTTTAAGGCAAATGGTGGTAAATGTAGCTTACTTTTTGATAGCGTTCCGTTCTTAAGTAACAACAAGAGTAAACTTCTTCGAATATAGTTTTTCTAATAAATAATATACCTTTTGGAGACTAATTCAAGCTTTCTTTTTTATTCTTTCACTTTTGTGTTAAAAGAAATTTTTTCTTTTCTAACATCCAGACTAGAATCATGAATTGGGTAATTCTGAAGCTGTCAAATTACTCCTCGCATGTAGTAAAGAGTCTTTAGTGGTTTGCTGTTGACTTCTAATGCAGAACCTGTATGCGGAAAGTACAACTTCCACAGATGTTCGTACTTACATTTTAAACAAAAAATACCAAAAAACAAAACAAAAACAATACTTGGTTTTTAAGGCTGTCACTTATAAGACAATAATTTATAAAAGTACAATAGCTATCGAGAAAAGTGACTTCGAGATATCACCTCAATCTTTCATCAAATCTTATTCTCAGTTTCCATACAATCAAAGGACGCTGCCACCATTTTGACTTCAACCCTCTTTTAATTTACTTGTCTTTAGACATTAAATTTAGACTTGTAAGTTTTAACACTGCATTACATATCTAGTCCCTTATGGATAACAGTGGTAATTCCAATCACATAATGGATACAGTGAGCATTGTATGGTTGGAATACTACTGTTTCTAATTCTTGAAAATCTGTAAGGGACCAGATATAGAACGCTGTGTTAAAAAATATAATTGCCCTAATATTAATGAAAATTGAGTTAATTACAACCATGCTTTGCCAACTTGAAAATGCATTCAGACCATTTCAATTTTCTTTTGCTTGAAAAACATTTTAAATTCAAGCAACCATGACATTATCATTCTGATACTTTTGATTTACTGAAGAGTAGTGAATAATATCAAAGAACACCATACTAAGTTCCACCACTTGAACATCTTGTTTCCATGCTCACTTTATACACAATAATGAACCACAAATATTTTAGTAACATTTTTTTTAATTTCCTTATGTAATATTGCACTAATGTCAAAAACGCTTTAAATAATAAAACAAGATTCAGTCAAAAGTCATACAATTGTTATATACTTAATTATATATAGATGAAGTAAAGAGCATGACGTAACTTAGGTATTCACTAACTGAATATCAAAGTAGCCACAAATACAAGTGATTTTTTTGTTGTTGGGGGGGGGGGTCTTTGTTTTGTTTTGTTGTTAAATGCAATGTTAACCAATGATATGTTGGGGTATATAAACCATGTTTTCAGTGTTATAAACTTTCAGACTTATTATTGAGCCACTGGTGGACTGAGGGAAGCATACTGAGGCCCCAAAAAACTGTAGACTCACCACGTGGGGCTGCTTATGTAATGTAGCATTTGACAGCGTTTAATATTATTTCAAATAAAAACATGATTAATCATAAAAGATATTGGTTTCTAAATTAATACTTTTCTTTATTAAGATGATATACAAATTAGTCCGAAGTTAGGCAGAAAAGGTTTATTTTGATACGAGTTGCACGAGTATATAAATGCTACTAAACAGACTTGGAACAATTGAGAAAAATGAAACTTACCTCGCTTAAGCCATCAGACAATGTACCATGAGGCGGACTGTCAACATTTCTTACGTCCAAAAGGTTACTTGCATCATAGATAGGAACAGCACTGTGGGTATGTGATTCGGAGCGTACCTGAGGATTCTGGTATGAAACTGTACGAGTGTCCAATTTATGAATTGTACAATCTGTATCCTCTGTATAGGATACGTCGTTATCATCTTTCAACTGAGATAAGTGCAATTTTTTTTGTTTATCACCTTCCACGTTTACAGTTTGAACTTCCTGAACTTCTGAATTAACATCTGTTCTGATTACATGCGTTTCATAGATGCGGGTCACGTGATCAGTTTGATCTTGTATGCCATTTTGTTTACTCAAATGAGCAGAAATTAAGAAATTTTTTGTTGATTCTGCATTTATTAAATGACTATCAAGCGATTCTTTACAGAGTTCTGGAAGCTGTGCACATTCCTCTGTCCACGAAACTGAATTGTGTCGTAAATCATCAACACTACCATGATTTCCTGAAACCACAGAAGTTCTTAACATGTTCAACTCTGACTTATTAATGCCGATGTCTGAGGGGAAATGTATACTTTCTTTCAGTACAAAGGTGAGAGAATCATCTGTAACATTCTTCTTAGCATCTTCTTGAAAATTTCTCTCACTTTCATTCTTTTCACTGTTTTTTTTAACATGTTCTTCATCAAATAGATGTTCTTCATCTATTGTTTCTGCATTGGTAAATACGGCACTTTCATTTTTTCTGGTTTGTTTTTTATTATACTGTACTGTGATGATTTCAGCCAAATCGATATTTTCTTCAGAGATCTCTGGTTTTTCCCCCGAACTCTTAGATACACTACTAGCAAAATCCTGATCAAGAACTTTGCCGATACATAGAGGCTGCAGTGAAGTACTTTCAGTGTCTCCTTTATCACCGCACTGCTTATCAGCATGAATGATTTCATTAATTAACTCCCTCTCTTTGTTCGGTGTAATAATACCACTTAATTTTGGGTAAGATTCATCTTTGATAACATGTTTTCTCACAATTTCTGGCTCAACTTTCTGTTTTGGATTCTCTGATTCATACAACTTATCATCACGAACCTGACACAATTCATCCTCCTTGCATATTTTATGCAATCCTTCAAACTCTTCATTTAAGTTTCTCGTAGCAAGTATTTTAGAGACATCTTCTTCACCTCCTGATAGAGTCCTAGTGGTTGTTGGAAATGCAACTGGAGCAACGAAAGGTAAATCACCTTCTCTTTCCTGTTCTAGATGTTTGTTTACAAGACTTCTGTCCCGTTTAGGTGATTTCTTTCGGTTTTTCCTCAACCAAATAATGGACAAAATGGCAATAAGAGCAGGGATAGCACACACAGCAATTGTGCGTGGAGATAACCCTGCCATTAGTCTCAACTTCTTGGTTTCAAAACCTTTTCTTTTTGATTTTTATGAAAATCTGAAAATATAGTGTGTAACAATATAATAACGACCAAATTTCCTTATCCATGAGCTTATGTAATAAACAAGATTTCTCACATTCAACAGAAGTTAATTATCTTTAAAACTAAAAAAAAAACTCAAGGTCATGTTTTAGTTATTTTTAATGTTCACACTACAGTCTGAACTCTAGAATTATTATTTTGTTAAGAGTAATAAATACATGAGCATCAGAAAACACACTCTCCGGGATGTTCAAAAAGTCTAGAACCATAGATCATTTGCAGTTTTTTTTTAATTTCTGAGCTTGGTTGAATAACACCTTCCCAGGATATTGGATGGGCAGATGTAATAATCAGGAATGTGCCCCAAGATCTCTGGGTTTGACTCCCATTGATTTATTTTTCTGAGGACTGCTCAAGGCATGTGTGTACAAAGAAGATCAGGGACACTGAACATCTGAAACAACAAACCTAAGACGAGTGTTGGACCATTGATAATGACTCAAATATGCTTCACAGTGTTCAAAGAGAATGAGAATAATATTTCCAAACTTGTTTCGAATTACAAGGACAGCATGTGGAACAGTAAAATTTGTTGAAGTTTCTATGGTTCCAGACTTTTTGAACACCCTGTACTTATAAACCACAGAAACCTAGCTTCCTTCCTTACATAATTGTTCCTTATAGTTATTAACTACAACTTCTGTTCTCACTTGTGGTTTTTATTGTTTATTCAATCGTATTTTATAACCTGTACTTGTGAATAGAAGGTTGGTAGAGGTTGAAAAACTTTACAACAATTACATGTTAAACAAACATTTAGGTAAAACTGTCAACAAAGTTCTGGATTTTATCCATCAAATAGTTCGTTTCATTTCAAGTGAGACTTTATCAAGGTTTAAGAGAAGTATGTTATATGATATTAATCAATTAACATTATCATGAATCTGCAATGTGGGTATGATTTTAAAACTCCACCCAACACGAGCATATGCCGTATTCTCCAACCACAAAACTTGTGTCAGTTCAAGCGAGTCTCATTATCTATGGAATCCAATATCTTTTTAAACAAATTTTTTTTAAACTACTTATGTACGAAACAGTACACTTCATATCATTGGGAAAACTATTCTGGAAGTTTCAAACACTAAGAGAAATAATTCTGTCAGAGAAAAAAAAAAAAAAAGATTAAATTGTTATCCCAAATTTAGTGTTTCAAACTTGTACATTCACAAGACAGATCATAGCTGAACAGCTGAATCATCTGTACATTTATATTTCCAACCTCTACGTTCCACCGTTCAAACAGACCACGCACGTGCAGATTATACAAACGTATTTGAACACCTGAACCAAATCACTTATAGTTTTATGTACTCCAAAAAACATAAATTCTCTCTTTGAAGCTCAATGTTTTTCCCATGTATCCTTCTAATAATTTATTTTTGCTTTCTGTTCCCAACATGCTGATGTATAACCAGCAAGAAATAAATACAAAACTTAATGCAGTTTTCACAAGAGCATTATACAAGTTACAATAACCATCTCTTAAATACAAAATTTCTATAAATAGATCCCAGGAACCCTTTTTTAACCCACATTTCTGAGGCTCGAGCACTCTAAACATGTGTTATACAAAAAAAAAAACATATCAAAAAAAAAGGTAAAAATCCAACTCAAGTAAATGGGACTGGAATACTGACAAGCAGGTTTGAAATGTTATACGTATAGTATCTGTTTCGGGAAGCCTAACAGGTTCTATTTGATTAATTGATGCGAGATAATAATACTAATCCTGTATCAACTTTCCAGAATAAAATTAAGCACTTGTTTTTTAACTGATCAGCATATATTTTTCAGTGGTTTAAACTCATGATTTCAGTTCCAAATTACCAAATGGTGTTGTTTTCATGTTCTAGGGCACTAGAAGGAAATAAATAACACTACACACAAGGATTTGGCAATGTCTCTCAGGGGAGTTTTGAAGCTAAGACCCCACAAAAATAGTATGTTTGGTTGTTTTTTTAATTCTGTGTAAAGCTACACAAGGGCTATATGTTCTAGCTGTCCCTAATTTAGCAGTGAAAGACTAGAGGGAAGGCATCTAGTCATCACCACCCACTGCCAACTCTTGGACTACTCTTTTACCAACGAATAGTGGGATTAACCACTACATTATACTGCCACCATGGCTGAAAGGGTGAGCATGTTTGGTAGGATGGGATTCAAACCCATGACCCTCAGATTGTGAGTTGAGTGCCCTAGCCACTGACCATGCCCAGGCCCACAAAAATATACCAATAACAAAACCCTTCTGATGTTCTACTATAATAAAGTTGTTTATTTCTTTTTTAACTTTTAAATGTTATTTCCTTATCTTTCATCTGTTATTTTGGTGTCCTCAATTTTTGTGTGTGTTAAAGGTAAGCAAAATGGTAAAATTGAGATTGTAAGATTGGGGCTTTTAAAGGATGTAGATGACAAGGTTTTTGTTAAGGACTATGAAATGGCCAAACTTTTAAGTGTTTTATTCTGTTTTTACAAGAGAGAACATTAGCAATACTACTGACCATGAGCATCCTATGGGAGATTTTGGAATTGCTTTGATCAGAGTAAAGAGTAAGAATTAGATTTAAAATTGATAAAACACCAAGTCCAAACAAAATTTTCCCCAGGGATTTAAAGGAGGTTAACAACAGAAACACGAGCCTCTCTTACGTTTTTTTTAGGTCAACAGAGGGACGGGTGCCTGAGGACTGGAGACGAGTTGCTAATATTACTTTATTTTTTTAATGGGGTGATAAGAGTTGCCATGGAAATTACAGACCAATTAATCTTCTTTCGGTAGTAGGAAAAAGTTAAATATCTGATAAAAAAAAAAGCTTTACAAAATCATTTAGTGAAATATGATACCATAAAAGAAAGCCAACATGGATTCATGTTATCTTCTTTTTTTTTTAGAATGTTTCTTGTTATCTGGACAATAGAAATGTTCCCATGGGTTTTTCAAAAAAACTATTGATAGGTACCACGCATAAAATTAACCAAGAAAATTACAAAAGCAGAGACTGGGGAAAGACTGAACTGTGAATGTAAAAAAAAACACAATGTTATTAATGGAATCTACTCAAACTAGGTCCTTGTTGCTGGTGGAGATTTTGAATGCTTCAGAGACCAACGCTTAGGCCTTTGCTTTTTTATTAGTTACATTAATAACATTGATAAGGACATGGTAAAGTTTTCTAATGACATTAAACTATTGGGTATTTCTAGCTGTACTGAGGATGTTGAGGTAATACACCTGCATTACCATAATTTAGATTATATTTAATATAGGTGGGAACTCAATCAAAAGTGTGACTGAAGAAAAACTTGGTATAGTGGTGGATAAAGTAACTCAAGCTACAAATGCAGTGCTCCGTTTGTATTTTTTTTTTTTTAGCACAAAGCTACACAATGGGCTATCTGTGCTCTGCCCACCACGGGGATCGAAACCCAGTTTCTAGCATTGTACGTCTGCAGACATACCGCTGTGCCACAGAGGAGCAGTGCTCTGTTATTAGTAGTAAAGATTATAGAATTTTAGGTGTATTTACAGAAATATTCATTACATGTGAGAAGGAGTAATACTCTCTCTATACAAATCAGGAGTAAGGTCTCACTTGGAATACTATGCACAGTTGTGGTCTCCTTACGTAAGAAAGGATACTGACTAATTGAAAAATATTCAAAAGGCTACTACAATGATTCCAGGGATGGAAGAATTATCTGATTTCCTCTTGAGAAAAGAAAAGAGAGAGAGAGGTGATCCTATTAAAGTTTACAAGATTACCCAAGACATTAAAAGGATAAAGATACCCTGATTTTTCTGTGCCTTATTATGAAGATAACAGGATAAGAGCTCATTATCTTAAGATTTGGAAAATGCATGCTAGGCCCCAGTTAAGACAACTGCATTTTTCTAACAGAGTGATTGATGGTTTCTTTAGAGATAAAGAGTGGATTTAAATTTTTACTCTTCTTAAGGATGGGTGTGAAAAGGCACCATTTAAGAACATATTTCATTTAGTAGATGAGCACCTAGAAACTTCTGTGTGAACAGTTACTTCAAATATTAGACATACACATAAACCAAATCTTCATTACAAATACAGACCTGACCTCATGTGCTAAGTTTTCTTTTCATTTGCCAATGTGGCTGATCTTTCTCGGTAGCAAAGTTTGTTTGAGTTCAAGGTTGGTATGAAAAAAAAATTTAAACAACCCTGTTAAAACATTTTCAAAGAAAAAATAACCTAGCTAAAAATGGAGTGATGAATGTGGGGAATAACAGTAACTCTAAAACAGGCCTAGAACGTAGAACCTCCTTCGTTAGTTACTCCCTATGGAATTGCTTGCGTTCAGTTGTTATATGTGGTGCAACATAATATACGGACAGCAAGGTACGTCTTGGTCTTTCAAGAGATCAGGTTTGGATACAGGATTATGATTTTAGAAACTTAAGAAAAGGTACTCGCAGGCTATCTGCACTAGCCATTATTAATTTTGAACTGATACGCTTAGCATAAGACAGACAGTGAAAAGCACCCATTACCCAACTCTACTGACTAGTGGGATTTGACCATCACTCTGATAATACACCCTTGGTCCCAAATGTGATTTGCAGGAATGGGAAATGAACAGTGAGCCCTTGGATTCACAGTTCAGTACACTAACCATTAAACCACACTTGAATATAAGACATGGAGTTTCTAAGTGAAATTTGGGGTATGGTGGTTGTAGAAAATTGGCCATATGGTTCCTTGTTGTCTGTTAGAATATAAAGTTATCTTACTGAAAACTCTGAACAGCTTTGGTAAAAGCTCCATATACATTTAGATTCAATCAGAAGGCTCAACAAGCCTATTTCACCTTGGTGTGCACTCGGCAAAAGGCTTTTACTCTTTTTACATTCTGCATAAACAAACCTCTTTCATGTTTATAGGTAATAAAAGTTTACAACATTAAATAATTATAACAGCAGGCTAGCATCAACAGCAAATTAAGATACTATAACTGTGCAGATACTATAATTGTACTAAATGTCCTTAATAAAAATTGGGGCTGATTTAACTTTAGGAGGTTGTTTAATAGTTTCTGAACCCAATATCAGAGACATCAAAAAGTCTTCCAAATTCACAATCAAAAAAGAACTTTTAAAACAACTAATATTTTCATCTTTGTTTTATTAAACTCGGTGTCATCTAAAATATTTATGAAAATTATTGGCACAACTTAATTTCAACAAAATAATGATATACTTGACTATATGTGTTTATTTCTAAGGTACAGTTTTAGGCATAAAAAAACAACAGCAGAAAACTAACAGTAACACACTAACCTAGAAGAGGTCTTACACAAGTTACAAATGTTAAAAAGTAAGAATGAAACTTGGAGATATGGATTCTTGTGAAACCCTATTAGTATTAACATTCAGTTTCACTTTTTAATAACTTTATGTTCTGGTTGTTTTAACTGTTGGTTTTACTCCTAGTACTACTGCTAACGAATTTTTCTTTTACGTAAAACGCATTTAAAATTATTACTTAAAATGTTGTTAAAGTTTAAACACAGAAAACAAATACTTGGGTAAATTTAAGTTAAAGTGACTTAAACTTTAAAGCATCTAATTTCTAAAGGAAACCAAAGTTCTGCTAAATATATACTATACTATAGTGCGTGAAATGTTTACTCTCATTTTACCTGTTCAATATCGTAAACTGAAAGATTTTGTAACTTATACAAAATTTTGTTATTCAGCTGTTTCAAAGATTTTAAATTTAGTTGTTGTTTTCCCTCTCGACAGCATGACTCGGTGTTATTAACGTATATTAGGCTTAATGTTAGTTGTAAAAGATATAGCATCGGCTTCTCATTCGAGAATGCTCGGGCTCGGAAAATGTCCTCGCAATATGGTGGATCTATGTTTATATATCCCGCAATTACCAAAAAGCAACAAAACATCCATAAACTGATAAACTCACCAATTCCGTTTTCTATCTATAATGAGCTGATAGATTTTGCTTACACTTTATTTGTCAGTGCACAGTCCTCTCGCTAAATCGTTTAAAACTACAATTAAATTACAACCAAAAACACAACTACCCCACGTGGCTACACTTTCTCTCACACGACGAACCGCATTTTCACCTCAAATTTTATTTTTGCCCGTAAGGGGAAATGAAAGATGTTACACAATGTCTTCAAACAACGATATAACATTATATTTTGTAAATCGATTAAATATTACGCTATATGCCTGGCAGAAATAATGTTTTAATTAATATTATGGCACTGAGTAATAAAAAATAATAAATAAAATTCAATGGAACCTGTAGTTGATATCTGATAGTTGATAAAAAATTAAGCCTTGTACGTCCAGCTACAATCAGCATTTTAATGTTTTGAAAATTTACTCTTGTTATGAATGAAGAGAGAGCGCTAACATTTTAGACTTTCAAATCTTATCATTATATGTTACGAATTAAAATAAGGATCGTATATTTATTTCTTGTTTTTAGTTTTCATGTTATTTCAGTTAAACGTCTGAAATAAATGAATGGATATAACAGAAAACATTATTTTTATTAAAATGTAAAATCCAGACTAATAACAAATGAAATGAGAGAAATAATTACCTTTTCACATAATAATGATAAAAACGTTTTGTTTCAGACAACGTTTCTCCATTGCGACATCACCAGGGTTAATAGTTCTTGTACTACTATCCTTGATGAAGCAGCACTGGCGAAACGTTGACTGAAATAATACATTTTTTCTCATTAACTGAATGAGAAATAGTGGTTTGTTTGTTTGTTTCTAATCTTATTGCCAAAAAATTAGATAAGGATAAGTGTATATTATAGAAACAGTGTCACTGTGTCCTCTTTATAGTGTATTTGTTTGTTGGCTTATACGCAAACCTACATGACGGCTATCTATTTCCAGCTGTCCCATATTTTGAGCTGATAGATAAAATGGAAAACAGCTAGTCAGCACCACCCACTGTCAGTTCTTGTGAAATCATAAAGTGGAGTTTGACCCTCACTTTTTTGACGCAACCGCAGTTCCACAGTGCAGAGCGCGATTTACATTTTTTTAGCAGTACCTGGACGCAAACCACGGAACCTGAGCTCCACAGTCCGGCACGATAATCATTGGGCCAAGTTTGGCCCATTTTAATGTTACAGAACACGCTGAATTACGTTTTCCCAAAAACGATTTATTTATTTAAAAATATATAATAAGCAATATACATTTTTTCCATCCCGGAAAAATCGAACCCCGGATTTTACATTGTAAGTCAGTGGGACTATATTTTAAACTTTAACAACTTTGGATATGTCAACCACTTGCTACGATTTTTTTGTAAGTTTTTGAATAGTGGGCAGGTACCAGAGAATTACAAGTTAGCTAATGGCACTCCTCTTTTCAAGGGAGGTGATAAAAATTGTCCCAGTAATTATAGGCCAACTAATCTTACATCAGTTATGGGAAACGTTTTGGGAAATCTGATAAAGGATGCTTCACAAAGCCATTTTACAAAGTTTAGAATTTTATTTGACAGTCAACATGGTTTTACTAAGGGGAAAATCTTGCCTTACAAATCTTTTGACATTCTTTGAAAAAAATACTGCTTAGATTACTGTATAGATTTGATGTATTTGGATTTTCAGAAAGCATTTGACAAGGTGCCATATAAAAGGATTTTAAAAAACTTATCTCTATAGGTGTGGGGGATGAGTTAGCAAGATGGAAAGAATAGTGGCTGAATGGAAGAAAGTAGAGGGTTATTACAAATGGAGTTCAGTCAAACTGGATTAATGTTACAAATGGGGTACCTCAGGGTTCAGTCTTGGGACCTTAGCTCTTTTTGATTTAAATCAATGACATAGACAAAATAATGGTCAATAAACTACTTAAATTTCCAGATGATATTAAGGTATTGGGTGTTGCTATCTGTGAAGAAAATGTTGCTGATTTACATCATTTAGTGAGTTGGTCAAATAAATGGCAGATGGATTTTAATTATAATAAATGCAAGATAATGCTTGTTGAATCATAAGTATAATTTGGATGGGAATGACCTTAACAGTGTGATGATTGATCAGTCTCTTAAGCCATCCAAGCAGTGTGCTGTTGCTAGTGGTAGGACAAATAGGATTTTAGGTTGTATCTACAGAAATATTGAATACTAGTCTAAAGAGGTTATAATTTCATTGTATAAGTCACTGGTTAGACCACATTTGGAGTATTGTGTTCAGTCTTGGACTCCTTACATTAGGAAAGACATTGAATTGTTGGAAATTGTTCAGAGAAGGGTCACTAGAATGGTGCCTCGGATAGAGGAATTGTCATACAAGGAGAGGTTGAAATCTCTCAAATTGTTTTCTTTTGAAAAAAGAAGAGTTAGAGGAGGTATGATTGAGGTGTTTAAAATTGTTAAGAGATTTGATAGTGTTGATGCATAATCTTTTTTGATACTTAACAGCGATAATTGTCCTACCTTGCCAAAATTTATATTTGTGTCCCCTAGTCCTATTCATCTTCAGCTAAGGACCTTCTGGAATGGATTGCCTTCGGATGTTGTGGAGGCAGTAAATTCAAGTGAGTTTAAGAGAAAGCTTGATAACTATATAAATGAGAATGGGCTTTAAGATTTTTTAAAAATTTATAATAGTTTAGAGGATGGGACAGCCAACATGGACCAACAGATCCCTTATTGTCCCTAAAAATTATGTTATTTGCTTCATTAACACACAGCTGTCAACCTCTGATACTCACGAATGAGTGAGAAAATTAAAAAGCCAGATCCAGGTGTGCGTAATTTAAATTCTAAATGGAGAGCTCTGGGGCATTTCAGCATGTTGTTAAAACAAAGATGAAAGGAGACTTGTTCATATTTGATAATGTGAAGAACTACTCTAACATTGTCCAAGGGACAAATACATCCAAATATTATCACTGACATGACTGCTCTAATGTAAAATTTTACTTGTCTTTATGTAAATTATTTCATAAAAGAAGTCAAAAGTACTGATACAAAATACCATCACCACAGTATTAGTATACCATCACGAAAACTATGAATTTTTTTTTAGAAATCACCCTTCACCTTGAATGCTAAAATTATCTAATAAATATATCCAGTATATATTTTCCCTAATATATATCCATGAATTTATCATTTGTATACCATACAGTTCATGCACATTTTCTATAAATAAAAAGAGAAAAACATGCATCAAACAACAGTTTCTTCTTCTTCATAAGTAATCAATCAGTAGGCCTATTACATATTTTTTCATGCTGAGCTTTAGCTTTAACTTTATGTAAATTTATTTATTTAACTGTATATAACTTACTGTTGGATTACTCTACATCTGATGTAATATCTAGAATTATTCATTTATCAATTATTTTCAAGCCATATATTAAGATTATCTGACAAGTCTTGAAACATCCAAAATTTGTCAAAATGCACAAAAACAAAAATGTTGACAGTTTCAGTCAGGCTCCTCAGTGTAACTTGTACTCAATACGCCATTCCTTATCTTATGATCAAGCAGTAGGCTGGCCTAGGATATGACTAGACCTACGTAATGATGACTACATTTTTTTTTAATTTGATAGTTTTATTTACCTTATCATTGATGGTATTCTGACTCACAAATGCTTTCAGTATTAATCTTGATAATGACTTGATCTTCTCTAGATCTTTGTGAAAGTTTGAGTTAATGTGACTTTCAACATCCTGCAGTCCTTTGTGCTTGAAGGTGGTTGAACGGTTACATTGTGCATCAAAAATAATTCTCACTGAATGATTTAGGCACAAAACATGGGTACTTCTTTATTCATTCTGGCTTGAACTTAATATTATACTTTGCAGCACCTTGATATTTCATCAGATTGAGTTGTTTTGATGTTGATGGGCCACTCGATACGAAGCTACTTTCACTCAACTTGTTTACTAGATTGACAACAAATGGCACACCCTTGATTGTATGTGGTTGGTTGTTTGTTTGGTGCTTTATGGCGCAACACAACGAGGCTATCTGCGCCAAACAACCGGTAAAAACAGTGAAAGTAACTTAAGAGTAAAATATAAAAATACAGTGAGTTAAAACCAAAATATGTCCAAAATTTGGATAAAAGATTTATATACAATTAAAAAAACCAATAGTGTGTAAAAAATTAAAAATACAATCTAGTCGGACATTGTCATCATCGCCAATGACACTGTCCAACATCAGGGGTAAATTCTTACAAATTACGTGTCTAAAATGGTGCCACCGCTTATGGTCATAACAACGACACGACGAGTAAAATGTGGGCTATTGTGACTTGAGTATCACAACGACTACACATCGGTGGGTCAATACCTGATAAAAGACAATGATGAGTTAAAAAACTGTGACCAATGCATAGCCTTGCCAAGACAACTTCCTCCTTCCAATCCTTATGAAAGCAAGATGGCCAAATACCTTATATTATATTTTATATTGACTATAATTTATCAAGTTTAGTAATTAAAATGTATTTTACTCTTAAAAAATATGAAATTTCGAGCAGACTAAATACATAACCTACCCCATTGAAATCTTGGTTCAAAAGAAAGAAATGACATTAGCCACGTTACAAAGGTTGAGAAAATCACTGGGGGAAGACATTCTGAGCTCCCGATTGGTTATTCATGTCATGTATAGAAGTAGGTGTATATAAGGGAGCATTTCCAAAAATGGAAAGAGGTGGGCGGGGTGCCACTATGTTTGATTTATTACATGAGCAATATCTCATCAAATAGAAAAGACCTTCTTATTTTATGTTGTATCTTGTCAATATCTGTAATTTCAGTTTCTAATGTACAAAACTATAGACTTAGTATTTTGACTTCACAAACATCTAATTTGAATCAGTGCTGCATTCAACATACCACATGACACACAAAAATCAATGTTTATTGTATTTTTAATAATTGCTTTTAAATTAAGAAATTGAGTAGTAATGTATAGTTCTAAAATTTGAATTATAATCTACAGTTTGATACCAATCTTATTGACATAAATTCATGAAATAGTAGTTCAATAAAATTTTGAATCCATGTTAACAAAGATGACATGGCCTTTCACCTATGG